CCCCAAAACCCCAAAACCCCAAAACCCCAAAACCCCATGCAATAAAAAGAGCATTGGCATCTTAAAATTAAATTAAAGATGGATAACCACCCTGCTAATCCTGAGTCAAATACTGAATTAAACCTTAAGAAGGATGTTTCTAAAAGTCAGGACGATAAACACCAGCATGTAGAGGCTTCAGTTGGACATCTTACCTCTGAATTTGTACATTTAGACCAAAATTTAATGATGAAAACATCTAGATCAGTCGATTCAAAAAATGAGATGAATAGGATCGATAAGAAAAGCCTGACAGAGCAGAATATTGAGTCTGGAGAGATAGTTCCTCTCTCACAAGGAATTCAATCAACTTGTCTCTCAAATCAGAGCAATCTGAGTGACAATGAAGGAGAAGAGACAAGCCAAACTGCTATGAAGAAGGCAGGATCAACCTCAATAAACTCAGACACATTTAGTTATGACTTGTCTCCATGGAAAAAGGATTTCAAATCTATCGAGATTAAACCAATCAGGAATTTGCTTCCTGAGTTTGAGACTTCCTCTCTTAGCAGTCAGTATAGAAGCAATGGAGCCACTTTAAGCAAGAATTGCTCCCCATGAGTTGGTGGCATGACTGGATCTTCTCAATCTAATTCATCAGTAAAACCATCAAACCTCAAAGGACTTATCCGGGAGTTTAAGAAATATTTTATCAAAGATTTCAGATCTTTTGAAAAAGAGAGAACATGTCCAAAACCGGTAAATAACTTACCATTTTGTAAAGCATTACAAAACTATCTCGAAGTGAAGATGAAGGGGATGCTAGCCGCCGACTCGAGCCATGCTAGCCAGGGTAGATGTAGCATGCATTACTCCTTAGGGCTGTTGATAAATCCAAAATTTGTTCTCTCATGTACACACTCCGATAATTCATGAACAGCAGGCCAGAATGAATGAAAAATCCTTATCCAAGACCTGCTATTAAAATGAACTATCAACAGGATAGGTGAATATTTCAAATGTGATAATACCAAGGCTTTGTTCCTCCACTTCTGAGAGAAAAATGCTCAATGCCTCTCGAAGTACGGAGCAGAAGATTCTCTTGTAAGAAGTCTCTTCTAAAACACTGCTATAAGCAACTAATTCATCTTTTTATAAATATTACTTCAAATAACTTCATCAATGGGCCTTCTAAACTCTTAGTTTACCACTTTAGGCTATAGTTTTTACTGTTTTGGAAAATAGCTCTGTACAGTTCTTCTAAAAGACAGAACGAATCATCTGTCTTTTCTCTATTTCTTCCCTTTTAAGCTTGCTGCTATCAAATGGTTGGGCTTTCAAAGTAATCTTAAGCCATTAGGCTTCCATTTTAAGACCTCTTGATGCGTATTCCTAGATCTACTTTCATTAAGTTTGCATACATTTCTGTGCCTTGAGTTTTCCCATGCTAAAATAATTTTATAAAATTATTATGGAGGACTTATTCTGAAAAATATTCAAATTCTTTAGTCTAAAAGCTACTACTTTGGTTTATAATGACTGCTAGATTTGCTACAGCCTTTTGAGTAGACCAGGCTAACCAATGATGTCAATGTTAAGGATTATAATCATGAAAAGAGGAGGAGGTATCGGCAATCTTCTCAATTGGATATTTACTAGCTTTTTTTGCAAATCTGACAGACTTGGGGATGACAAGACTAGGTAGATCGCTAAACTCATTCCATTTTGATAGATATGTTGACTCTTTGAGGTACATATCACCATTCAATATCAATCTATCTTTGAGAAAAGGGAATATTTTCAAAAATATCCACAATTTTAAATAGAAGAAAATTGTCATAAACTATCATTAGGGCTCTCTAACTATCTATGAAGACCAGGATATAATTATAAGAATTCTTTCAGCGCTTTCAATAAGTCCTCAGTCGGATTTTTTGTGAATATTTTTGACCAGAATTGGGAGCATTCTCTCGAACCTCATCCATGAGGCCTCTTTGTTGATCCATTTGATAAAAGTACTTAAAATTGGAGCTACTCGGCTAAATACTCTAACTCCTACTAGTTTTGGAGTGTTCTTGGTCTGAATAGTAGCACTCAGTCATGGTTGTCCATTCATATTTTATTTGTTAATGCTAGAAGCCATCTAAAAGCTCTGTTAAGAGCAGGAACATAACGTTAAACAAGATAGATCTCTTCAAGCAAGTACTGTATATAAATCTAGAGGAAAAGTAAGTTGAAGAAAGCACCTGAAGTACCCTAAAATAGGAATTTGGTTGCTCTGAGTTGGTGTATATCATTAAATCTTTAATAGTATTATCATGAATTTGATTGTTTGATTATTTGTAATGAGATAAAGATCCATACGGCCTTTCTTACACACACCAATTTAAGCATCACTATTTTTGGATTTTATATCAAAATTTGGCTAACCTGGGAATTAGACCCTGATAAACAGAGGGAGAAAAATACCTCTAGGAGTAGTCTCTGTAAGGAGCCAAGATCAGGATACCTGAAGCTGAGATACACATCAATATAGAATAAGGGTTACTTCTATCAATGCATATTCACAATTAATACATTGATCATGCAAATTTTGAGGAAGCCTTGCAAACTTTTGAATTTTCAAAAAACTTTCCTTAACTCTGGGTGTTAAAAGATCCCTCAAGGCTATAGTGTTTGCTTTGTGAATGCTTCTGTGAGATAATATTTGACATTTTTGGAATACAGTAAAGATATCCAAATACTCGGCAATTTTTCACATCAAAAAAGCCCACCAAAATTTTGTTGTAATGAAGTTTTCCTTCTTCTGAAATAAGCCACATAGCATAGATATCAAATCTGAAGGTAAAAGTTACTTGGAGGAAACTCAATTTCCCGCATAGCATAAGATTTATCATCTTTGTACCAAAATGACTGTATTTCTCCACGATCATGAGGAGGGGTGATCCTAATCGGTTTAGCAACTAGTAAGTGTATCATTCTAAAGAACCTATGCATGGTAAAAGTTGTTAATTTCTATTTCGACCATCTAGATTACCAATTTTTGTCATAATCCTGTATCAATACAATTTCAATGCTCCAATTTATGCAAGGGGTTTTGGGGTTTTGGGGTTTTGGGGTTTTGGGG